ATCCGGGTCCTCATTTCACCCACCTCGGAAAGATGGAAGGCTGAGTCAACCCTGAGCCAGTGTGATTTGAACCGCCGAACTGCAGTTAGCTAAAGTGGCCTGCAGTACTGCACTCTAACCACTGTGCCACCTCGGCTCTCAACCCCCCCCCGTCCCCCCATTCATTTCTCTTCCGCTTCCTCCACTCGGCCCTGTGCCAACAGCCCCTCCGGGCTCCGCCATTGAGTCTTCCTTCTGTTTTTGTTTTCCCGCAGGCTGCACCAAGGTTTACACCAAAAGCTCCCACCTGAAAGCTCACCAGAGGACTCACACAGGTAGGTTGACGCGGCAAGTGGCCGATCGTGTCTCAAAACCGTAAATCGTCTTCTGTCGGAGCAGCTTTGTTTGGTGGGCAGGGGGCTTCCGTTCCCCAAAAGCTGCTTCTCTTCGGAAGACAGGCAGAATTCCAGCCTTGGGGAAAAGCTGCTGCCAAGGGCACAGCCGGGCACTGGGCCACCCGCAGGGCAGGCTGGGCTCTCAGCTGGGCTCTGAATGGCTGCAGGAAGCTGGAGCTCCCCAGGGAGATGTTGTGGCCCCTGGATGAGTGGCGTCCTCCTCTTCCAAGCCTTTTTGCTTCCCCAAGGAAGGGTGAAGCAAGGGCATCCGGCCCCTTCCCCCCCCACAACCCTGGAGTTTGAGCCCTAGTTGGGGGTTGAAGGGTGAGAAAGGAAGAGCTTCCACATCCAACTCTTAAGGTTGAAAATGCAAGCGGAGAACAGCTCCAAAAGGCCATCTTAGCCCGGCTACTGTACAGCAGGGCCAGGGATGGCCACCAGCTGTGCAGGCTGCAGCCTAAACTTGGCTAAGCGGCTGAAGGCCACCCAGGAGCAGCAGAAGAAGGCCCGGGGGCTGGGGGCAAAGCCCCTCCTCAACCTCCCCTTCTCTGGAGGAGCAGCTCAACTGCCCTCGGAGGGGCTGATCCTCTTCGGACAACGGGGTGTGTGGCCTTCTCCTCTCCCTCCCGCTCTTCAGGCAGACCCCCCTCTGGGGCAGCTCCCCCTGCCACTCACCCCCCTCCAGGCACATCCTTCCTGCTCACAGCTGTGACCTTCCACAGTTCTGCTCCCCAGCGCCAGAGGGAAGCAAGGCCCAGGAGGGGAGGAGGGGGCAGCTTTGAATGTGCCCACCACAGGCTGTCCCTGCAGTTCCGCCTGCACAGCTGGGGGGGAAGGGCAGAAGGGGGGGAGGTTAGCAATAGCAATAGCAGTAAGACATATACCGCTTCATAGGGCTTTCAGCCCTCTCTAAGCGGTTTACAGAGTCAGCATATCGCCCCCACAGTCTGGGTCCTCATTTCACCCACCTCGGAAGGATGGAAGGCTGAGTCAACCTTTGAGCCGGTGAGATTCGAACCGCCGAACTGCAGATAACAGTCAGCTGAAGTGGCCTGCAGTACTGCACCCCTAACCACTGCGCCACCTCGGCTCTCCTTGTTTGCCACGGAGGAAGTGGAAGAGGAATGCTGGGGAGGCCCCAGGAAGACCCTGCGCTTCTAACAGGAGGCAGGCTGGAGCCCCCAATGAGATGGTCACCTTGTGGGAGGGCAGAAGACCTTCGCGGGGACGGGGGGAGTTAAGGAATCCCTCGCCACCCTCAACCACAAGGGGGGTCCTTTTTGCTCCATCTCCAGGCCTGGGAAGTTGCATCCACCTTCAGTGGCTGCCCCCCTCCCCTCCGGGGGCCCATTGTTTATGGCTGCCCTGCCAGGCTGCCCCAGTGAGAGGCTGCTGTGGGGACAATGGAAAGGCTTTGGTTTCCATCCCGGAAACTCCCTGGGGGGGTTCTTTGAAGCAGAGGCTGACCTTCCCAGAACAATGGCTTCCACTCACCACGCCTGGGAAACAGCCTGCCCATGTGGTTGGCACAACCCCTGCCCGGGGAGGCTTCTCCCTTGGCTCTGCCTGGGCGAGGACCTGCTGGGGCCAGAGACGGTTCAGGAGAGAAAGGGTGACACCTGCCTGCAGGCGTGGCCTTCAAAACACACGCCACGCAGGACACGGACCATCAGGCAGGGCGGTGAAGGCCTTAACCCCAGGTGTTTCAGGGCATCGCTAATCCCCTTCCGTGGCTGCTCTGAGAAAGAGGGTGGGGCGGAGACCTCTGGGGAGCCCCTTTGATGGTGGTGGGGGGAATAGAACACAACAAACGGCATCCCACGGAATCGGGTCTCTACTATCGAGCACCTCACTGTCCCCCATGATCCCACTTGTCCCCCTCACCAGCCTATTAGAAGCCGAGGTGGCGCAGTGGTTAAATGCAGCACTGCAGGCTACTTCAGCTGACTGCTAGTTCTGCAGTTCGGCGGTTCAAATCTCACCAGGCTCAAGGTTGACTCAGCCTTCCATCCTTCCGAGGTGGGT